TACCATGTGAAGCCACTTCAGTTGCTTGCACGCTTCCGCTGCTGATACATATTCTGCTTCAGTTGATGATGATGCAACAATCTTTTGTTTTTGTGTTGTCCAGTCTATCAGTGCATCTCCATAGAAAAACAGGTAACCACTTGTTGATTTTCTATCTGTAATATCATTAGCCCAATCCGAGTCCACATATCCTTTAAGTATGAGGTTACTGGTAGCTTGTAGTCTCAACTTGAGGTTCAATGTCCCCTTCAGGTATCTTGCAACTCTTTTAATTGCAATCAAATCATGTTTGGTTGGTTGACTGGTCTTCCTGCACAGTATTCCAACCGCTGCTGAAATGTCAGGTCTTGTAATCCTGCTGATGTACAGTAGCTTTCCAATAGCCTCTCTATATAAGCTATTGTCTGGTAACAGTTCACTTTCTGAAGAGTTTTTCCAGTAATTCACTTCCATGGGTGTACTTACTGGATTTGCATCTGAGAGTCCAAGATGTTTCAATAAGTCCAGTATCTTCTGTCTTTGATTTAGCAAAAAACTTCCATCTTCTTCTCTTTCAATTTGTATCCCTAAGTAATGGGATATGTTTCCAAGTTGTTTCACTTTCACAGTACAGTTAAGATGTTGGACAACTTCATCAAAGTCGCATTTCTTTTCAAAACAAAAAATGATGTCATCCACATAAGTTAGAACATATGTCCATCTATTGTTCTTGAATCTAGAATAGAGACAAGGGTCAGCATTGCCTTGAGCAAAACCCTGCTCAATCAACATTTGATTCAGTTTTTCATTCCAGCATTTTGCCGCCTGCTTTAAACCATAGATTGATTTCTTTAATTTGCATACATAGCCTTTGTGTGCTTTGTCCTCAAAGCCTGGTGGTTGTTGCATAAAAATGTCTTCCTTCAAGTCACCGTGAAGAAAGGCTGTTGACACGTCCAAGTGTTGGACATCCATGTTTCTTGAAGCTGCTATAGTAAGCAAAAGTCTTAGAGTTGTATGTTTCACAACAGGTGCAAAGGTTTGGTCATAATCTTCACCAAACTCTTGTGAATAGCCTTTAGCAACAAGTCTGGCTTTGTATCTCTGTATCTCTCCATTCTCATCATGCTTTAACTTGAATACCCATTTGCATCCAACAATATTCTTGTTCTCAGGTGGTGGAACAAGTGTCCATGTTTGATTCTGTTGCAATGATTCCATTTCATCCATTGCTGCATTCATCCATTTCTCCTTTTCATCCTCTGGTAATCTTTGCATTTGATTCCAGGATGATGGTTCTTGCGGTTCCATTTCATTGCTTAGATAAGCAAAACGCAAAGGAGGGACGCCTTTATTTTCTCTTTCAGATCTGCGAAGCAATGTCTCTGTTTGTCCATCGGGTGGCACTGTATTCTCATTTGGTCTGTTGAGGTGCAGTTGTTCTTCTTGGCCACTGGGTGGTGTTGGCTCTTCATCTGACCTCCTGAGATGCAGTTGCTCTGCTTGACCACTGGGTGGTGGCGGCCCTTCAGTTGGCCTCCAAGAATGCAGTTGCTCCGCTTGACCACTGGATGGCGCGGCTCCTTCCCCTTCTTGACCGCATGGTTGGCCTGGGACAAAAGGGCCTGGCTTCTCTTGAGCCTCTGGAAAGTTATTTCCCTCTATCCTTTCATCAAAATACACAACTTTTCCAACAGTCAGTGTTTTGTTTTGGGGATCAAACAAACGGTAGCCTTTGTGCTCAGAACTGTATCCAATCAAAATTAGAGGCTTAGAAGTCTGATCAAACTTGCTACTTCGTTTCACTTCAGGTACATACATATATGCCTTTGAGCCAAAAACTCTCAAATGATTCACAGAAGGCGGATGTCCATTCCACAATTCATATGGAGTCACATTTCTGCTTGCACTTGGAAGTCTATTTTGCAAATAACAAGCAGTGTTAACTGCTTCAGCCCAAAGATAATGCTGTAATTTTGCATCCAACAGCATAGTTCTGGCCATTTCAATTAGGCTTCTATTTTTCCTCTCTGCAACACCATTCTGGTGTGGAAAATATGGCAATGAATGCTGGTGATGAATACCATATTTTCTCAAGACATTATCAATTGCCTCATTGCAAAATTCACTTCCATTGTCAGTCCTGAAAGCCTCAGGAAACTTATCAAATTGATTTTTCACTTTTGCTAGAAAGTCCAACAGTTTGTCATACACTTCACTTTTATTCTTCAAGAAATAAACAGAACAATATCTCGAAAAATCATCGGTAAAGGTAAGGATGTACTTCATGCCCCTTAAAGATGCAGTTTTCATTGGACCACAAACATCACTATGTATGAGCTGCAGGGGGCGCTCCGTCACCATCTCACTGCCTTTTGGAACAATGGGGGCTACTGCCTTCCCCTGAAGGCACATGGCGCATCTCTGTTTGCAGCATTGTTCAACTTCCAAATCTCTACACAAATCCTTTGCCTTCAATGTGTATTTGGCACAAGCATGACCAAATCTTCTATGCCACAGTTGAAAACAATTCTTATTTTGGCATTCTGATATCATAAGTCCAGAAATCTTGGGTGCTAAATTGACTTTGTACAATCCCATATAGTGACTGGCTGTTAGGATCACTTCTCCATCCTTTTCCACAGAACAAAGACTATCTCTGAAATTAAACGTATAACCTTTTTGTTCTAAAACTGCGAGGCTTATGAGATTAGTCTGTAGACGGTTGGAGAATTTAGCACCTTCTAGGTAAATATCATTTTTAGTGTCCAAACAGGTCAATTTTACAGTCCCAATTTCAGTACATATTACTTCATCTTTGCCAATTCCATATACAGAAGATTGGCATTTCTCTAGATGAGTGAAATAAGCTCTATTTGAGAAATAATGATCAGTTGCACCACTGTCAATAAACACATCTTCTTTGTTTACTTTATTTCCTGAAAACTTAAAAAGTACATCTTCATCTAGTTCATTTTTCTGTTCCAACTCACTTGGGTCATTAGGGCTTGGCATAGCTAATTTCGCATTTCCTCTGGAAAAATGCCTCTGTGGAGGGGGGTGATTAGACCCACTAGCACTCCCTTTGTTATTCCAATGACCTCTGCCTGATGAACTAGGAATCTCTGCCATGTGGTCAGGTTGCCTAGCAACAGGAGTTGCTGGGTTTCTTAAATACTGTTTGTTTTCCTTTGCTTTCCAGCAATTTCGTTGGAGATGTCCTTGTTTTCCACAAAAACTTCAATGATACTTCCATTCTGGTGAATATATTGAGCTTTCAACTCAGAAATTAAGTCATCAAGAGTCATGGGCTTTTCCTTGTCTTGGGTATTTCTCAAAATCAATACAGCTTGTTTATATTTTTCATCAATTTGCAGATGAACAAGAGAAATAATCATCTTATCACTCAAAGTCTCTCCATTCAATCTTAATTGTTCAACCAAGGAACGTATTTCTTCCAGATAATCAAATAAGTCACTTTCTGAATGCATTTTCAATGTAAACAATTTTTGATAATCCAGAATAATTTCAGCTATTGAGCCTTTTCCATACATTTGCTCCAAACGATAAAGCATCTCTTTGGCTGTTTTAGCACTTCTAATACATGCAAATACTTTATCCGATAATGCCAGAGATATTATGGACCTCACCGTTCTGTCTGTATCTTTCCATTCATCCAGTCCCTGAGCTGCTGGATCTGGAGGGTCCTCTTGTAAAACTTTCAGCTGCTTTCTGTTCAAAGCCAGCTCAAGCCTTTCTTTCCAATTCAGGAAATTTCCTCCTCTTGTCTCCAGCTTGGGGAGATTCACAGGAGATTCTTGCCTTCTCTCCATGGTCATCAGCTTCCAGTCAAGGAAAAATTTCCCAAAAATCAAAATCAAAACAAAAATGCTCCAAAAAATCCCTCAGAACCTTTCTCTATTGCTCTTTGCAATGCAATCCTTTAAAAATGCTCAGCGTACACGTTCTGGGCCTCAATAACCCATTGTTGGGAATCAAGAGCTGTTAGGCTCAAAAATAACCCTCTCTGGGGGTGATTCCACCAAAATATAGCAGAGTGCAGGGTGCACAGTAAATAAGCAGCAGAAACTTACATGTAGTGAGCAAGGTATGACTTCCATTCAGCAGGATGGAACAGGATTGCAGATCCACAACTCATAGGATCAAAATAATATGTTTATTAAAGATAAAAGAAATCCATTCTGGATAGGAAAGGTTCTTGGAGCTAACTAGCTTCACTGAGCTATCATCTAAGGTAAAAGAAAAGGAAAAATAATAAAAGTAACTATTTCTATTACATCCTTGCTGGACAAAAGCAAGATGCTTCCTCACTCTATGGAGGACAAAAAGGAAGTGAGCCTGAAAATGGAGACAGGCCACATGGCCCAGCCTAGGGCAATAAAGATACCTTTAAAAGAGGAAGTTACGTTTTCCCTATAGGATTACATTCCTAGGTATTCAAATGGGGAGGAGATAGTACCATGCAAAGGGCAATTCCCCTTCTTAACCCCTTCTTAACCAACTTAACTACAGGAAATAGGGAGGAATCCCTAAGTTTATCTAGTCTATCTACTCATTGAGGGCTGGAGACTTGTGCAGTCAGGGATGAAACCCAACAAGAACCACAACAGCACGCTGGAAGGAGATGGTCGTGCCCCCCCCCCTCTCTCTGCCCATTGGATTCCTTGGCTCTCTGAAGGCGGCTGGGTCCCTCCATGAGTTTCAGACTGGTCGCCCTGGTAAAGGGGGGGGGTCTGGCCCCTCCCTCAAGGGGTCTCCGTACTGCAGGGAAGCCCAGCAGTGGTGGCCTGGGCCCCATGACAAAGTGGAGTCTCTTGCATTTGTCCCTGTTGAACTTCATTTTGTGAGTTTTGGCCATTCATCTCTCTCCAGGGACCAAGCTTGACCCCACTCAGGGCTTCCACTCACCACAGCAAGGTCACTCACAGACCTGGCTGGGGGCGCAAGGTATGCTTGACCCCCCCTCCCCATATCCCCAGCTAGGTCTGTGCACAGCCCACAAGAAAATGCAACACCTCACAACACGTGCCACCGCAGAGGGTGGCTTGGGAACACCCCTCCCTCATTGCTTGCTTCCTCAACTCCCCTCCCGTCCAGGATGATGTCGGAGCCCCTCTGCCTGGTGAGCCCCCTCCTCGGCCTGAACCCCACGGCCCTGGCCCGCCTGAGGGCCCTCCCCGGCCCCCTCCTCCTGCTGGGCGTCTGGGGGCCCCCCGGCACCGGGAAGTCCTTCCTCCTGGACCAGCTGGCGGGACACGGTACAGGTGAGCCCCCCTTCCAGGTGGGGAGGGGTCCTTTGGGTCTCTCGGGGGAAGGTGAGCCCTTCATTGCCCCTCCCTCCCTCCTTCCCTTTTGCCCCACACAGGCTTTGGCCCCACACCAGGCCTCTGGCTGCGATGGCTGCCCCACCCGACCCGGCCGGGCACGACGCTGGTCCTGCTGGACTCAGAAGGCCTTCAGGAACAAAGCGAGGCGGGGGTGAGGCTCGGGGGGGGAGGGGATTCCACCTTGGGTGGGAGGGAGAGAGGGGACCTCCCTTCAGAACGATGGGAGCTGTGGCGCCAAACATCCGGAGGCACCTGGGCAGGGATGGGAGCAGTGGTGGAGACAGTTGTGTTAGCCATCCACGCTGCCTGTTGCAGTCGTGCAGTCCTTACCTGTCATCTTTCTGGGCAAAGTTCAAGGTATTGGTTTGTCATACCTTGCCTCAAGCCACAACAATAATAATATTGTTGTACCTGCCAGCAGGCGAGGCAGGTAATATTATTATTGTAGTTGTGCATTATTAATAATACAAAACAATAATAATATTGTTGTACTTGCGAGCAGGTGAGGCAGGTAATATTATTGTTGTTGTGTATTATTAATAATAAACAACTACAACAACAATAATATTGTTGTACTTGCCAGCAGGCGAAGCAGGTAATATTATTATTATTGTTGTTGTGTATTATTAATTAGTATTAATAATAATATTGTTGTACTTGCCAGCAGGCGAAGCAGGTAATATTATTATTATTGTTGTTGTGTATTATTAATAATACACAACAATAATAATATTGTTATACCTACCAGCCAGCGAGGCAGGTAATATTATTATTGTTGTGTATTATTAATAATTCACAACAACAATAATATTGTTGTACCTGCCAGCAGTGTATTATTGTTATTGTTATTGTTATATCTTTCCTGCCCCACCTTCCCTCTAATTTTGCTCAAGGTGGCAGACATGACCACCCCCTGCTATCCTCACAACAACCTTGTGAGGTTGGCCAAGCTGAGGGAGGACCGCCTGGCGTAGCAGCATCCAAGGGGTTGTGGGGCCGTGTGTCCCTGGCCTCTAAGTCGGGGTCTCTGCTGCCCTTTACTTCCCTTGAGAACCCCCAAATCTGCCTCCGCAGGCACCGTTCCCTTCCGTTAGCCCTTGCCTTGGCACCCCGGTGGCCCCTTGCTGGCCTTGACTAGCCTTTGCCCCTTGACCTTTCCCCTTGCTGCAGGGCGGTGAGGACCCCTCCTCGGGGCTCTTCTGCCTCAGCGTCCTGCTCTGCACCGTCTTCGTTTTCAACTCCCGAGGAGCAGAGGAGCCCCAGCAGGAGCTGGACCGGCTCTCGTATCCTTCCCAGGAGAGGCATCTTTCCTTCAGGAAGCCCCCCCCCCCCCGCATGGCCCTTTCCCCTCGTAGCCTTTGGCCAGTGCTGGGGAGGCCCACCCTTTGGAGATGGCGTCCCTTTCCTTGACCGGTGCCTCCAGTGGCTGCCTTGAGGGCCTGCTCCGCAGGGTCCGCATCCTGGAGGACTGTCCCCAGGAGAACATCTCCCTGCTGAGCAGCGTCCTCCCGGATTTCGTGTGGTGCCTCCGTGACGCGGGCCCCGACCACCTTTGGGATGAGCTTCTCCAGGCCACCGGCCATGACATGGACACCCTGCTCTCCTCCTCGGACTGTGCGTATGGTATCACCCGATGGGTTATTATTTATTTATTTATTTATTTATTTATTTATCGTGTCAGGCAACCGAACAGTTGTATTACATTTTTGACAGGACAAACAAACAAACATACAAAAGACACAGAGTTTGCAAGCTTGGTAGTTGATTAAATGTCCTTTGACCAGTATCTGGCCACTTGGAGTGCCTCTGGTGTTGCTGCAAGAAGGTCCTCCATTGTGCATGTGGCAGGGCTCAGGTTGCATTGCAGCAGGTGGTCAGTGGTTGGCTCTTCTCCACACTCGCATGTCGTGGATTCCACTTTGTAGCCCCATTTCTTGAAGTGCCAGAGCAAAGTCTGTTCAGCGCCTTCCAAGTCGTGTGCCCAGGAGGGAGTCTCTCATTTGGTATCAGCCATTGGGTGAGGTGCTGGGTTTGAGCCTGCCACTTTTGGACTCTCGCTTGCTGAGGTGTTCCAGCGAGTGTCTCTGTAGATCTAAGAAAACTATTTCTAGATTTAAGTCGTTGACATGCTGGCTGATTCCCAAACAGGGGATGAGCTGGAGATGTCTCTGCCTTGGTCCTTTCACTATTGGCTGCTACTTCCCGGCGGATGTCAGGTGGTGCGATACCGGCTAGACAGTGTAGTTTCTCCAGTGGTGTAGGGCGCAGACACCCCGTGATAATGCGGCATGTCTCATTAAGAGCCACATCCACTGTTTTAGTGTGGTGAGATGTGTTCCACACTGGGCATGCATACTCAGCAGCAGAGTAGCATAGCGCAAGGGCAGATGTCTTCACTGTGTCTGGTTGTGATCCCCAGGTTGTGCCAGTCAGCTATTGTATGATTTTCGTATGATAGCCCACTTTTTGCTTGATGTTCAGGCAGTGCTTCTTGTAGGTCAGAGCACGGTCCAGAGTGACTCCCAGGTATTTGGGTGCGCTGCAATGCTCCAGTGAGATTCCTTCCCAGGTGATCTTCAGATCTTGGGATGCTTGTCTGTTCTTGAGATGAAAAGCACATGTCTGTGTGTTAGATGGGTTAGGGATCAGCTGGTTTTCCCTGTAATAGGCAGTGAGAGCACCTAGAGCTTCGGAGAGCTTCTGTTCAACCATCTCAAAGCTCCCTGCTTGAGCGGTGATGGCACGATCATCAGCATAGATGAAGCTCTCTGTCCCTTCTGGCAGTGGCTGGTCATTTGTGTAGATGTTGAACATGGATGGAGCAAGCACGCTTCCCTGAGGCAGGCCGTTCTTCTGTTTCCGCCATCTGCTTCTCTGGCCCTGGAACTCAACAAAAAGCTCCTGTTTTGTAGCAGGTTTCCTATGAGGCGGGTGAGGTGGTAGTCCTTTGTGATATTATACATTTTTCTCAGGAGGAGGTGGTGGTTCACAGTATCATAAGCCACTGACAGGTCTATGAAGACAGCTCCTGTGATCTGCTGCCTTTCAAAGCCATCTTCTATGTGCTGAGTCAGGTTCAGCACTTGCGATGTGCAGCTTTTGCCTTTCCTGAAGCCAGCTTGCTGTGGGATCAGACATGGGTCTATTTTTTCCGTAATTCTATGCAAAATAAGTCTCTCCAGAACTTTGTAGAGGTGGCACAAGGGAGATTGGTCTGTAGCTTTTTGGGTCATTGCGGTCTTTGCCTGGCTTCAAGATGGCGATGACTCTTGCTTTCCTCCAGATTTTGGGGATCTGACAGGATGCAGTGCAGTTGTTCATCAGCTCCGAAGGGTCTTGTTGGAGGATTTCACGGCCAGAATCATTGGGAGGCTGTTGCGTGGTTTCTGGGCTGTATGGCCAATGTGCTCTATCAGCACTTTCTCCTGAGGTTTCCCCTGCTTTGCCCCCAGATTCAGAGGAGTCCCCCGGGCACCGCATCCAGATGCTCTTCCCGTCCCAGAAGGCCTTCTGCTTCCGCCTCCCGGACCTCGACAAGAGCGAAAAGGATCTCTTCCCACCGGAGCAGATCCACCCTGTTTTCCAGAAGCAGATGGGAGACTTTCGGGACTACGTTCTGAGCAGAGAGCCCAAGGCGGGCATCAGCGGGGAAGGTGAGGCTGCCTTTGCGATGGAGCTCAGCCCCTGCCTTCGTTTTTTTTTGGGGGGGGGGGGGCATTGTTACGTCAGAGATAGCGATGCATGAGGAGTCTGTCCCTTTGTTCCTTGTCTCTCAGTCTTGTGCTCCAGGCTGCAACGCTTCGTGGGCGCTTTGTCCCGGGACCGGGCCATCCTTCTGAATGAAACCTTCCAAAGTTGGGAAGCAGAAGCACCAGAATCCTGCTGGGTATGGCGGGGCGCAACGGAGGGGTGCGGGGTGGCCCCTCCCATGCAACCGGCCCTCTTAGAATACAATAAGAGAAGAGAAGAACTTGCGTTGTCATTGTACATCGTACAACAAAATTAAGTGCCACCCCCAATACACATGATAGACGTAGCATTACAAAAACAAAACACCCATCCTTCCACTTTCTTTTTTAAAAAATAATTGTTTATTATATTATACACACTCAAAGAAATATGAACATTTTGCTGGAATTTACATAGAAAGTGGAGAACGCTAAGTTTAGAGGAAAGTAGGAAAATATTAAGAATAAGTAGAGATATGAAAAAAATGAAAAGAGAAAAAAAAGATAGATAGATAGATAACATACAAAAATACCTTATTTATATATATATATATATATATATATATATATAAAATACAAATATACCTAAAAATTAGAAAAAATAGAAAAAAGCTAAAAAAAAGTCCTTTGACTTCCATTCTGTGTCTTCACCTATATTACATAACTAGCCGTCCCCTGCCACGCATTGTGTGGCCCACTCTGGTGGTCCTGGGGGTTCTGTGTGGAAGGTTTGGCCCAATTCTATCATTGGTGGGTTCAGAATGCTCTGTGATTGTAGGTGAACTATAAATCCCAGCAACTACAACTCCCAAATGTCAAGATTCTATTTTCCCCAAACTCCACCAGTGTTCACATTTGGGCATATGTTTGGTCCAGATCCATCATTGTTTGAGTCCACAGTGATCTCTGGATGTAGGTGAACTACAACTCCAAAACCAAAGGACACTGCCCACCAAACTTCCAGTATTTTCTGTTGGTCATGGGAGAACTGTGTGCCAAGTTTGGTTCAATTCTATCATTGGTGGGGTTCAGAATGCTCTTTGATTGTAGGTGAACTATAAATCCCAGCAACTACAACTCCCAAATGACAAAATCATTTTTGAGTGAAGGACATACATTGGGTTGTTAGGTGTCTTGTGTCCAAATTTGGTGTCAATTCGTCCAGTGGTTTTTGAGTTCTGTTAATCCCACAAACGAACATTAAAATGTTATTTATATAGATTACTTATTTATTATTATTATTATTATTATTATTATTATTTAATTAATTTTTCATTTCCCTCTAAAAACTCCTTTTTAATAATAGACAAAGAAAAAAAAGAGATAAATGTATTAAAGATAACAGAATCATAAACTGATTGGGGGGGGGGGGACATCCTTCCACTTTCTGATCACTATTGCACAACCCCTCATGCCGCATCAATGTGAAACCAAGCAAGTTCTCCTGTTTTTCTGCAACAGGAAGAGGAAGCGGAGGAGCGTTTCCTGGCCCCCGAGGTCCCCAGGGAAGTCCCAGTGGAGGAAGAGGTCCCCAGGGGCTCCGAGGCCCACATCTGGGGGGCCCAGGTAGGAAATATGGGGAGAAGTGCAGGGGGGCAGCTGGATCCTGTGCCTCTTGCGCCAATGGAATGGGCCTTGACCGTCCAGCGGCCAAGCAGTGGCAAGGGTCAGGCCCTCCGGGGCAAGGCTGGAGAGAGACGGCCACCTCTTTGGATGGAAAGATCTGCCTTGTTTTGCAGGAAGAGGAATGGCGGGAGGAAGAAGGAGAAGGAAACAGGTGGAGGGACCCCTGTCCAGGCCAGGCTACAGAAGAGGTAGGGTCTCTCTGCCTGCCTGCCTGCCTGCCTTCCTTCCTTCCTTCCTTCCTTCCTTCCTTCCTTCCTTCCTTCCTTCCTTCCTTCCTCTTCCTTCCCAATTTCCTTCTTTCTCATAAACACAGAAGGCTTTGGAACTGATCCATCGAACGACCGGTTCCTCCATCCCCTTCTTCTTGACTTGGGGACCAATCCATCGATCCACCGGTTCCTCCATCCCCTCCCTCCCTGCCTGCCTATCTCTCCTCCAAGGCCTCCTTGGTGGGATTATGATTATTATCTCCGTAGGATTGCCTCTGAAGACTGCTCAGAAGCTTCAGTTAGTCGAATGGACGGTAACCAGGTTGCTCACTGGAGTGGGCTACAGGGCATATACATCCCCCCCCCCCGTTACGCCATCTCCACTGGCTGCCAGTCTACTACTGGGCACAATTCAAAGTGTCAGCTTCAGCCCATAGAGCCCTAAAGGGATCCGGCCCAGCTTACCGGTCCGAATGTATCTCTCCATGAACTATCAAGGATGTTATGATCCTCCAGGGAGACCCTGCTCTCGGTCCCACCACATTTGCAAGTGCAGCTGGAGAGGACGAGAAACAGGGCCTTCTGAGTGGTGGCTATTCGGCTGTGGAACTCACTCCCCGATGAAATCAGATCTGCTCCCTCCCCGCCCCCTTCCTGGCCTTTTATAGAAAACTGAATATGTAGCATTTGGGGGGAAAGTGATTTTATGTGGAATATGTAGCATTTGGGGGGAAAGTGATTTTATGTGGCCGGCAATGAACTGACCTTCGACTATGATTCTGAACTGGCAGAACTCCTTTAAATTGAGCGTTTATAACTATTTTCATTTGCTGTTTCAATTGTAATTGTGTATTATAATGTATTGTTTGGCATCCAATGGTTGCCTGTTTTAAAGCCGCCCTGAGTTCCCCTCCCTCCGGGGGTGAGAAGGGCGAGGTACAAATGCGCAAAATGAATAAATGCATAAATGAGCATTATATCCTGCCTGTCTCCATGCGGGGACTCAAGGCAGCTGACCTCTCTCCACGCTTCTTCCCTTGCCTTCGCTGGAGCGTCAGAAGGCGGAAGGGGTGAGGCGCGGAGGGGTGCGTGTGGGGCAGAAGCAAACCCTTCCCACCCCCTTCCCTCCCCCACTTCAGCTGGACGTCCAGCCCCCGCTGGTTCCAAGGGCGGCCTTCCCAGCCATGGAGGCCCCGATGTGCCTGATAGAGAACAGCCCCGGGCAGCCGCTCCGGATCAACGCACAGGCCCTGGGCATCCTGCAGCGCATCCATCTGCCGGTGGTGGTGGTGGCCATCGTGGGACTCTGCCGGACGGGGAAGTCCTACCTGATGAACCGCTTGGCCGGGAGGGGCACCAGAGGTGAGCGAGGAAGGGGAGGGACTTGGGCCGGACCATTGGTGGGGGTCCTTCCTGCCTCCACCGCAAGGGGCACCCTTCTCCGACTGTCTGGATGGGGCTGCCTGGTCTCCTTCTTGCATCCCTCACTCCCAACCCTGGGAAGCCTCCTTGGGGGATGACTGACCACTGCTTACCTTCTGACCTCTCTGGCAGGCTTCTCTCTGGGGGCCACGGTGCAGGCCAACACCAAGGGCATCTGGATGTGGTGCCTCCCCCACCCGCTGAGGGCTGACCAGGCGCTGGTGCTGCTGGACACGGAGGGCCTGGGGGACGTGGAGAAGGTCAGCCGGGATGGGCCCCGCAGGAGGGATTTCCTTCAAGGAAGCCATAGGGAGGGGGGCTCCTGGCCGAGCATCTCTCCGGACTGGCTTTGAGTGTCCGCCCCTCTCCTCCTTTGCAGAGCAACACCGAGAACGACTCCTGGATCTTCGCCCTCTCCGTCCTACTGAGCAGCACCTTTGTCTACAACAGCATGGGCACCATCAACCACTATGCACTGGAGCAGATGCAGTATCCTTACAGGGAGCCTCTGGGTCTGGGTTGGGTGGCCCTTGGGGCCCCTTCTAGGGCTGGAGGGGGGGGGACCTTGGCCTTCCATTTGCAGGAGAAGGCACTCCCTTAGCTGTCACTCCCAGCTTTGTGACAGAATTATCACGGCACATCAAGATGAAGGCCTCGGACAGGGAGAGCCACGACCTGGCCAGCGCCTTCCCCGCCTTTGTTTGGACCGTGCGTGACTTCACTCTGCAGCTGTGCCTGGAGGACGGGACCCCCATCACGGAGGACCAGTACCTGGAGCGGGCACTGGAGAGGAGGGCAGGTGGGGCCGGCGGGGGCTGGAGGCGGGGGCCAGAATGGGTGGGAGCCTTTTCGGTGAGACAGGTTGCTGGAGGAGTGCTTCCTTCGGTGCTCAACTCTAGCCTCTGGCATTTTGGAGCATGCCTCCCAGCTGCCATGCCTGTTGCTCTAATGTTAAGGGCCCATCTGACCAGCGTTTGCTCCTTTCTGTGGCCCGGCTGCCCAGCTGGAGTCCCGAGGAGGGTGCGATTGTTGCGCCCCAGAGTAGGAACAGGACCCTCTAATCATTAATGACACCACACCTTGGATGAAAAAAGAGTCATCTTTATTTGAAGAATAATTGCCAATAAAAGAGATGAATATAAAGTTGATAAAAGTCCCACAATCCCCAAGCCTCCTATTACGCTATGTAACTAACATGACTTTTGTATTGTCGAAGGCTTTCATGGCTGGAATCACTCAGTTCTTGTGGGTTTTTTCGGGCTATATGGCCATGTTCTAGAGGCCTTTCTCCTGACGTTTCGCCTGCATCTATGGCAAGAGCTCACCTCTGAGGATGCTTGCCATAGATGCAGGCGAAACGTCAGGAGAAATGCCTCTAGAACATGGCCATATAGCCCGAAAAAACCCACAAGAACTGAATATCAAAGATCCCAAAAACTTGCTGTTTAAATCCAGACGCAAAGAAATATCAAATGCCTTCCATAAAAACCATTGACATAGTCACTGCTAATCCACTTGAAAAGCCAGGAAACTAGATCACAAGGATATCCAAAAGACTTGACTTGAAAATCCAACAATGCCTGGTCTGAAGGAAATTCCCTAAGAGCTCCATTTAAGCCCAAGAAACTGATTTCTACTCCCCCCAGTCTTTGACCTTAACTGCCGAATTCTTTCTGACCTGCGTAAACATTGGGCCTCTCTATGGTTCTGGCTGATTTCCAGACGGCGGCTGGTCTTATCTATCTCTTCGTTAACTGCAGGTGTGAAGCTATCTTGCAGACTCGAGCCTGGAGAAGGGAGCGAACTTTCCTGCAAACTCAAGCCTGGAATGTTCTCATGAGAACTTAGCCTTCCCCTGACCCTTCTCGATCAGAGTCTGTAGTAACCTTATTGTCCAAAGTGTCTCCATTTTGCGCCTCATCCTCATTGACATCCAAGTCAGCCTCAGAAACATTAGAAGGGGGAAACACTATAACAGATTCAGGGTGAAACACAGGCTGAGTCCCAACACTGATGTGCCTGCGTTTATGTCTCCGCAGAGGCCCCTGAGAGCCAGGACCTGCCCAAGCGGTGCATCCGGGAGCTTTTCCTCAGCCGCAAGTGCTTTGTCTTTGACCGGCCGGCTTTGCGGCAGGACCTGCAGCGCCTGGAGGATCTCCCCGAGTCGCAGCTGAGCCAGGAGTTCCTGGAGCAGGCGCACCGCTTCTGCCGCCACATTCAGGAGAACGCCAGGGCCAAGGCCGTCCAGGGGGGGCGCCTGGTGAATGGGACATGTGAGTTGGTGGGTGGGTGGGTGAGGGGGCTTCTTGGGTGACACGGAGGGGCGGGCTGGCTCTCATTTGGACGGGATTGGCACCAGAGCTGTGTGTCTCCCCCCCCCCCTTGCCCAGTGCTGGCGTCCCTGGCGGAGAGCTACGTGGGAGCCATTCGCAACAAGGAGGTGCCCTGCATCGAGAACGCGGTCCTGGCCCTGGCACAGTTGGAGAACGTGGCCGCTGTGCGCGAGGCGGTGCAGCGGTACGACGAGATGGAGGAGCTGATGCGCCCGATGCTGCCCACAGAGGATGTGGCGAGTCTGCTGGTGGCCCATAGCTGTTGCGAGGAGGAGGCCCTCCGGGTCTTCATGGGCCGGGCCTTCAGGGATGAGGGCCAGCACTTTCAGAAGCAGCTGGCGGTACTTACAGGGGGCTGGCGAGGTGGGGGGGGCATGGGGGTCTTAGGGAGCATGCTCCACCCCTCCCTCTCTGCTTCTGCCAACAGGATCAGCTGCAGGGGAAGCTAGGGGAGCTCTGCCGGCGGAACGAGGGGGCCTCTCTGGACCGCTGCCAGGCCATCCTGATGGAGCTGTACCAGGAGGTGGAGGACAACGTTGTGCGCGGGCACTACCTGCAGCCGGGGGGCTACCAGCGATTCCTGAGTGACCGGCAGAGCGTGGTGGAGTGGTTCCACCAGGCGGAGGACAAGGGGCTCATGGTAGGCAGGGCAGCCGGGAGCCCCTCCCTCCCTCTTTCCCTCCCTCCCTCGCAAGTTCTATCTCTGATCACCGAGCCCCTTCCATATTCCCTCAGGCTGCCAAGGCCCTGCAGGACTTCCTGGCCTCCAAGGAGGAGACAGCGCAGTCCATCCTGCAGGCGGATCAGACCCTCCAGGAGAAAGAGAAGGAGCTGGAAGGTGAGTGAGTGTCCCTGGGGGCCATGTCACCCCCCTGCGTGCACCCCTCTGGAGGACTGGCCGGGGGAGGAAGGGCCTTGCTGGGAGAATGGGTGGCCCCTTCCAGGCCTGTTTGCTTCCAATTCCAGTGGAGAAGGCCCGGGCGGAGGCCGCGCAGAGGGAGGCGCAGCTGCAGAGGGAGATGCAAGAACGGGCCGAGCAAATGGCCCGGGAGAAGGAGAGGAGCTTTGAGGAGCACAAGAAGCAGCTGATGGCCAAGATGGAGCAGGAGAGGAGGACCCTCCTGGCCGAGCAGGAGCGGCTGCTGCACCAGAGGCTCCAGGTAGACGCCCCAAAGGCTCCCTGCTGTGTCCAAGAGGCTGAAAGGCTACCGTCTGGGGCAGAGACCACAGCCGGACCCCCCAAAGTACAGGGGAGCTGCTGTGGAAGGGGTGGAGGAGGGCCGGGCCACCGCTTCCCGCATGCCAACTCACCGTAGATTTATTACGTCACACAATTTCTGTTCCTGGGTTCCTGGCGTCTGAAAGGCGTGAAACGTGCCTCTGGGGGTCCCTGATGGGGGGGGGGGTAGTGCCCCGAAGCCGTCCCCCTCCCGCCCCTTCCCTGACACCTCCTTTCCCGCCCGCCCACCTCGCAGGAGCAGACCCGCCTCCAGCAGGAGGGCTTCCACAGGGAGGTCTCCCGAATGCAGGGTGAGATCCAAGGCCTGAGGCACCAGATCCAGGATCTGAGGAGCTGTAGCGGCGGAGGCGGGATCTGCACCATCTTGTGAGGATCCATCCAGGGCAGCCAGCTGACCGCCTTGGCCTCGCTCCAGGCTCCTCTCGGACTTGGTGCCAACTTCTCTTTTAAGCCGCTGCTTTTAACGGTGCCAACCAAGTATTGTGCCAAGTATTTATTATATTGCTTGAAAGGCTTGTCGTCATGGTAAACTGCTTCAAAGCCGGAGGATCTTGCGCAATTTCTGGCTCAAAGGGACCGGCATGAAACCCGGTGGGAGACTGGGGCGAGTCACACCCTCTCAGCCTCAGAGGAAGATCAAGCAAGGCAGCCTCCCTCCCCTTCCAAGAAGGACCAGGCACAACAACCACCATCCTCTCCCACTGTTTCAGTGGGACTTGCCTTGAGGGGGGAGCTTCGGAGAGAAGCACAGCCGGGGATCCGTGACGCAACCAGACCCAGAACCGAAATGGGATGTGTGTGAGGCACCTGTGTCCGGAGGCTGCCCATAAAAGGTCATTTATGAGGCTGAGGAGGTCCTCGTCCCTTTCTCCCTGAGCCAGCCCTGACCACTCTGGGGTTTCCCAGCCCCTCCTTCACCTGGACTTCCCCAAAAACCCTGTGGGAAAACACCTCGGCAACAAGCCGAGCATTACCTGGAACCAGATCCTCCCCATGAAACAGCATCACAGGGTTGACATTAATAGACTCGGCACACATTGATATTTACTCAAAATAATAATAATAATAATAATAATAATAATAATAATAATCTTTATTTATACCCCGCCACCATCTCCCCAATGGGGACTCGGAGCGGCTTACATGGGGCCAAGCCCAGGACAACATGTTACAGCAAAATAAAATCAAAACATAAACAACAAGCAACATAATCAAAATTACATAGAAGAAGAAAAAAAGTATAAACACAGTAACAAAATAACATTCCAATAAACAAAATAACAGTGGGCGGGCCACATGTACAGGATGAAATAATTAAAAGACTCTAATGAGATAAAAATAGGAGCAGGTTATTTGCAGGGAGCTCATAAAAACACACAGGGTTGTGGAACTAAAATTCCCATTTGGAGGGCATGTACTCCAGTAGCAGAAGCGTTGAGGGGAGCAGTAGTGTCATGTCATGCACCTACTTGCCTAAGGCGCAGCGGAAGAGCCAGGTTTTAAGGTCCTTTTTTAATGTTTCTAGAGAAGGGGCTTTCCTGATCTCTCCAGGTAATGAGTTCCAGAGTCGGGGGGCCACAGAGGAGAAGGCTCTCTCCCTTGTGCCCACAACAAGATGGGCGTGTGAGATTGGTAGGGGTGAAAGGAGGGCCTCCCCCGAAAATCGAAGGGCCCGGGTTGGTACATTTAGGGCTTTGTAGGTGATAACCTGCCCCTTGAATTGGGCCCAGAAACTAAACGGCAGCCAGTGGAGCTCATTAAATAAGGTAGTAGACCACTCCCTATAACTAGCCCCAGTTGTTAATCTGGCTGCCGAACGTTGGACAAGTTGGGTTGTTGTAGGTTTTTTCGGGCTATATGGCCATGGTCTAGACTAGAGGCATTCTCTCCTGACGTTTCGCCTGCATCTGTGGCAAGCATCCTCAGAGGTAGTGAAGTTGGACAAGTTGTAGTTTCCGGGCCGTCTTCAAGGGTAGCACTAGCAGACTACAGGCAGCCCTCAAGTTACAAACGAGAGGTTCTGTAGGTTTTCTCTTAAGTTGTATGTAAGTCGGAACAGGGGCATTTTGAAATATAACTCCAGCCAAATACACGCGCACACACGGGTTTGCATTGCATAGGGAAGGACTGAGACCCCCCCCCCCCCGTGATGTTTCCTTTGCTGCCTGTGATTCCACGTCAATTTCTGTCCCTGTGATCATGATTTTGAGAAGTTTGCATGTTGTGGAAACAAGGCTGGAGACACAGCTTCATTGGAGAGCCCTTTCCCCATTCCCGATAATAATAACTCTTCCAGGAGTGGATTTCCCTTCCTTCCTTCCTTCCTTCCTTCCTTCCTTCCTTCCTTCTCCTTCCTCCTTCTTCCTTCCTTGTTTGTTTGTTGCTTGTGTTTTTTGTTTTATTTTGCTGTAATTTGTTGTTTGGGCTTGGCCTCATGTAAGCCGCCCCGAGTCCCCATTGGGGAGATGGTAGTGGGGTATAAATAAAGATTATTATTGTTATTATAATTATTATTATTATTGTTATTATTATTATTATTATTCCTTCCGTGGGGAAGATGCCCCTCACTTGCGGTTGTCTCAGCCCTGTTTGCAACTAGGAGTCATTTATAAGTCTGGTGTTTGTAACACAGAGAATGGCCTGTATTTATATAAAATGATAAAATAACAAAACTAATAATATATAATTGGAATAATAAAAATCTGTAGAAATAAAAATGTAATGTTCGTTTGTGGGATTAACAGAACTCAAAAACCACTGGACGAATTGACACCAAATTTGGACACAAGACACCTAACAACCCAATGTATGTCCTTCACTCAAAAAAAATGATTTTGTCATTTGGGAGTTGTAGTTTCTGGGATTTATAGTTCACCTACATCAAAGAGCATTCTGAACCCCACCAACGATGAAATTGAACCAAACTTGGCACACAGTTCTCCCATGACCAACAGAAAATACTGGAAGGGTTTGGTGGGCAGTGTCCTTTGGTTATGGAGTTGTAGTTCACCTACATCAGGAGATCACTGTGGACTCAAACAATGATGGATCTGGGCCAAACTATACACGAATACTCAATATGCCCAAATGTGAACACTGGTGGAGTTTGGGGAAAATAGAATCTTGACATTTGGGAGTTGTAGTTGCTGGGATTTATAGTTCACCTACAATCACAGAGCATTCTGAACCCCACCAACGATAGAATTGGGCCAAACCTCCCACACAGAACCCCTGTGTGGGCCACAGCAACACGTATATGCTAGTCTATATAAATAAAAATGTAATGTTCGTTTGTGGGATTAACAGAACTCAAAAACCACTGGACGGATTGACACCAAATTTGGACACAAGACACCTAACAACCCAATGTATGCCCTTCACTCAAAAAAAAATCGATTTTGCCATTTGGGAGTTGTAGTTGCTGAGATTTAGAGTTCACCTACAATCAAAGAGCATTCTGAACCCCACCAATGGTAGAATTGGGCCAAACGTGGCACACAGAACTCCCACGACCAACAGATAATACTGGAAGGGTTTGGTGGGCATTGACTTTGAGTTTGGGAGTTGTGGTTCACCCACATCCAAAGAGCACTGTGGACTTAAACAATGATGGATCTGGACAAATTTGGCACGAATACTCAATATGCCCAAATGAATACTTCAACAAAGTTGAAGTCCTTTGACCACATCATGAGGAGACAGCCAAGCCTAGAGAAGACAATTATGCTGGGCAAAGTGGAAGGCAAAAGGAAGAGGGGCCGACCAAGGGCAAGATGGATGGATGGCATCCTTGAAGTGACTGGACTGACCTTGAAGGAGCTGGGGGTGGTGACGGCCGACAGGGAGCTCTGGAGTGGGCTGGTCCATGAGGTCACGAAGAGTCGGAGACAAACTTGGCACAAATACGCAATATGCCCAAATATGAACCCAGATGTAGTTTGGAGGAAGTAGACCTTGACATTTGGGAGTTGTAGTTACTGGGATTTATAGTTCACGTACAATCAATGAGCATTCTGAACCACACAAACGACAGAATTGGGGCAAACTTCCCACACAGAACTCCCATGACCAACAGAAAATACTTAAGGCCATCCAATCCAACTCCCTTCATCAGGGCAAGAAAACGTAATCAAAGCCCTCATGACAAAGAGCCATCCAGCCATAGATAGAGATAGATAGATATGATTCACACACAGAGAGATATAGTATCATAGATTTGAAAGGGTCCCTTAAAGAAGGACAATGATATGTTGCATGTTCCAGAGTAGGCAAACCAGACACTCTCCACATCAACACTGACAAAGAAACAGCAAGAAATACTGTTTACCCACAAGCAGAAAGAAATTACATATATTAGAAACCAACACTTTCTCACTACTTTATTTTCCACAGCAACGCCTGGCAGGGGACGACATCTATATCTATATCTATATCTATATATCTAGCTATCTATCTATTGCCAATAGTGTGTAATAATACTAATATAAAATCATATAGGGTTCCCCCCTCCCTTCCTGTTGCCTCGGTCCCGTTCTTAACTAGGAGTCGTTCGTAAGCCGGGGTGTTTGCAACTCGGGGGCTCTCTTTAAGGACCCCTCCCTCGGCAGGGCCTTAAAGAGTGGCGGGGCGGGCGCTTCCCCCGACATTTCAGGGAAGGGGGGGGGGGGGGGGGGGTTCCAGCAGGGCGAAGGAGATGCTGGGAGTGGCAGTCCTCCCTCCCTCCCCCTCCCCTCCCCTCCCCTCCCCCCTTCCGGGAAACTCCCGGCTCCGCGGGTTCGCTTTCGCTTTCCCTTTCGCTTTCCCTTTCACTTTTGCTTCGGAGGAGAGACGCCCGGGCGGAAGAGAGAGAGAGAGAGAGAGGTGAGACCCCCCTCCCCTTCAGACCCCCGCCCCGCTTTTAGAGAGAGAGAGAGAGAAGCCGAGGAGAGGGGAGGGGCGTGCCCCGTGGGAGCCCCCCGAACTGCAGGGAAAGAGGGAGGAAGAACTTCCTGAGATCAGTGGAGTTTGGGAAATGCCGCCCCCCCCTCGCCCCCCCCCCGGAACCTGTTTCCTTCTCGGGGGGAGGGCCCTCATCCCAGGCAGGGGTTGGGTGGCCTTGGCGGGCCCTCCCACTCCCTGGCCCTTCTCATGAGGAGGCTGGGGGGCCGCTTGCCCGGAAGGTTTTTTTTGGGGGGGGGGTGCATTCCCAGCCCGGCAGGACGGGCTTGGCTTGGGTGGCCCTTGGGGGGGGGGGTCCCTTCCCACTCCAGGATGCATTGATCTAGTGGGAGGCTCGCCGACCATCTACTGGGAGGGCTTGCATGGCGCCTTTCCTGCCTGGCAGGAGGGGCTTGGGCCCGGTGGCCCTTGGGGGTCTCATAGAATCCTAGAATCAAAGAGTTGGAAGAGACCTCCTGGGCCATCCAGTCCAACCCCCTGCCAAGAAGCAGGAATATTGCATTCAAATCACCCCTGACAGATGGCCATCCAGCCTCTGTTTAAAAGCTTCCAAAGAAGGAGCCTCCACCACACTCCGGGGCAGAGAGTTCCACTGCTGAACGGCTCTCACAGTCAGGAAGTTCTTCCTCATGTTCAGATGGAATCTCCTCTCTTGAGTGATGCGGGGCTATCTCTGGCCTCCCCTTTGTTCCTCTGGGGAGGCCATCCTCCTCTGCTTCGGGCACCAGGTCCAACCGGTGGAGCTGGGGACCCCTACCTCCTCCCTCGGGCTGCAGAGGACAGAGCCCTGCTTCAACGCTGCAATGGGCACCACCACCTGATGCTTGCCTTGTGTCACCGCCTTCCTCCTCACAGTGCTGGCCAAGTTGGTGGAGACCTACGTGGAGACCATCAGCAGCGGGAAGGTGCCCTGCATGGAGAGTGCAGTGCTGGCCTTGGCGGAGATGGAGAATGCGGCTGCTGTGGAGGAGGCTGTGGCCTGCTATGGGGGGCTAATGGGACAGAGGCTGAGACTCCCCACGGAGAGCGTCCCAGAGCTGCTGGGAATCCATGCCAAGTGTGAGAAGGAGGCCCTCCAGGTGTTCATGGCGCGTGCCTTCAAGGACGACGAGCAACGCTTCCAGATCAAACTCATGGTAGGTTCCCCCACGAGACGAGGCCTTTGGTAAAGCCTTACAGTGGGGGGGGGGGGGGGTCGAGTCTCTCACAGGGAAGGAAGGGAGCCCTAGCACAGAAGGGTCACCAGTCTCACTGGCCGCACTCCCAGCCCCACAGGACTGATGTCTTCATTGGAGTTTTAAAAAGGAAAAAGCAGTAAAATAAAGCAGTAGCAAAATGAAGCAGTTTAGCAGAGCAGAAGCTTCCAAACACAGCAGTAGCAGAGCAAATGAGTTACAAAAGTTCCTCTTATGAGACAGAACTAAATATGAGAAAGTTCAGGGTCTTGCTCTCTGTCTCGATCTGTGTGGAGACATCTTGCATGCTCTCCTTTTTGGAGAACAGTAAGAAGACTGGGTGTGGATTTCCATGCAGCCAGAGACTTAGGAAAGGAGGCATGTCCCTGAGAGTTATCAGCCGTGTTCCTCCTTTCCTGCCAGAAAACCCTGGATGACCGGAAGGAGGAATACTGCCGAAGGAATGAGCAAGAGTCCATTAAACGCTCTGCTGGCCACTCTCTGCGTGGAGCTGGAGGAGAAGGTGCGCAGCGGGCTCTACTCCCGGCCCAACGGACACCAGCAGTTTGTGGACGACCTGAAGGAC